TTACCGTCTACACAATCAACTTCTATGTTACTTTCAATTTTTAAATTATCGGGGTTGAGCATAAGCAAAGTTTACATGTACAACTTCATCGACTCACATGAATAGCTTATCGTTTGCATTTTCTTATCTACATTTAAAAAAAAAAATTCTCCAAATTAAACTATATATGAATGACTATTGCTTCAACTATCACATGTCATCTACGAGAATTCGTTGTTAACACTACATCTACGAGAACTTCCTTTTAAAAAGAAAAATGGAGTTCATTTTTATACAACCCAAAATATATTTTACAAATAAAAAAAATAATATTATTTTAATTTGTATTCTCTTTTTTGGTCAGACATCAATACCCGGCGCGTAGCGCCAGCACCCCCCTAGTTTCATTAAATTGTTTCACATGAGTACTATCTGATGCTGAAGTATGAGATTTTATTGAAGGTTAATGGTTGCATTGTTCCTTATTTTGTTGATAATATGAGTTAATTACTACATTTAATTGTTTTATTAAGAAAGCTTTTATTTTGTTGGTGTTGTAAAAGTTAGCCCTTCATTACTAACTCTTTAAAATGTTTCATTATGACTAGATGATTTGAATTTGTGCTTAAACTTTGACCATAGGATACTAGTTGACTGTATATACAACTTGTTGGAGACTTCATATTTGGGTTTCTTCATTTGTCTACCATAAACCACATTTACAAAAATATAATCCTAACATAAAATATGTTATTCATATTTTCTAAGTGTGTTTTTTCTTAAGTTTGTTTAATATTTTTCAAAAATATGTTTGCTTATATAAAATCAATGAATTGTTAGAGTAAACAAGTTATTGTTTTTTGTTTGTTTGGTAATTAGTGGGTCTTGTTAAGAGAAAGTAAGTCATAATTCGGCTTGGTTGGGTCTTATATGAAAACAACTGTATTTGATTTTTCGACTAAAACATTAATTTTGTGACATATATGCTAGATACTAAATTTCACTATTGCACTGGAATGTGTCTTCATTTTCGGATAACATTTTTTTCTGAACTGATTAGAATGAGTTAAAGATTAGATGTTGGATAACGATTACACCCCTACATAGAATAATTGATGATTTTTTTTTAAAATCATAACACCTTAACATTTTATCTTTAAATAAGTAATTACAGTTTCATAACTATTACATACATTGATATTTTTTTTTCCTGAATTTGTTGTAAATCATCAAAGCTAAAAGACTAAACTATGTTGTGAACTATAAGGAAAGTATTAGAAAGTAATTGAGTTAAATTGTTATTTACGAAACGCCCATATGTTTATTTAGTAGATATACATTTGTAATTTTTATTTGAAACCGTCATTTGAAATAGCCGTTTTGTCTTATCAAGAACTGTTATTTTAGTTTTATGTAAATCTTATTTTGTCGTTTGTTGCAAATATTATCTGGTTGTTTTCTGAATAAATTGTATTTACGAAAGACAATTTCTAAATAGCTTTGCGCTACTTCAGTCACGTTATCTCTAGTAACCATCATAATTACTTTCTTTGTTATAACCGTTGTTTATAATTTCGACACATACTAAAATTATGAAGTTTAGCTTATACAAAGTATTATCGCATTTTATAACTTTATTATTCGTAAATAGATAAAAATTGAAAATTTTGAAAATTTGCACTACAAATAGAACAAAATTCTGTTAAATAATAATTAAATAAACAAAAATTAATTCTTTACCAGTTAAATTAATTGTTTTATATTAAATTGCGACATTTCTCCTTCCTTGAACATTTAAGTAAATAGTTTTCTGGGATTTTTTAAATCTACTAATGCATTGTTTACTCAATTACCTTAGTTTGATATGTTTTTCTATACTTGACTTTACTATTTTTTTCACTTCCAACTAATGAACTAATTGCTAGATAAAGAATCTCATGTTCTCTGTCTATATACAGTTACTTTATTCAAGAAAAAATAATTATTTTAATCATAATTAGGTCCTTTACATCCTTATATATACACACATACATATTTGTTTAAGAAGCCATCAGTACCATTAAACCGCTCAACTAAAACAAGACAAAGAATAAAATATATACAAAACCCCTCTCGACCAGTCCGAAGTTTCCAAGATGATAAACAAGAATGGTAAAAGAGTTAGAGACGAGTCACCAGCCAAGACTGCGGAATCAGTTGTTGCTGATCAGAGGCGTAGAGGAAGATCTTCACCGAGCCAGTCATCATCATCGCTTTGCTCGTGCTTGTCGACGACAGAGGAAAAGAAAGAGGAGGTTGCATCATCGTGGATAGATGAGGAACCGTCAGTGCTGGTGTTGGTGGGATGTCGAAGATGTTTTATGTATACTATGGTTATGCAGAAAAAGCTATGTTGCCTTAATTGCAAACGCAATGATCAGTTGATCCTGATTTAGAGAATTTGTTCTAAATTATGATTTCGATTTGGACTTTAATAATGGGATCTTCTCTTTGCATGGTGAGCTTTATCCATTGTTAAGTCTTATATGAAAAATCAATTTAAGTAATAACCTGATCATCTTCGTTCATTTTTGTTTTTGTTTTACATATTATTCATGTTTGAGATGTTCTGAAAAACTAAACTGAAATAAAACAATTAATAAAATATAACTTTTTAAATTCAAAAAAATACTCTTAGCTAATATGTTCACTACATGAAAATAAGGTATATTCCGACGGATATTTCGATGAACAAAAAAATTGTCAATTTCTAACTGGTTTTTGATGATATCCCGATGAAAGATTTATTTTAAGATTTGTCGGTTCATAAATTTTCGACAAAATTCCGACAAAGAAATATATGAAAAGCTGGTAGCGTGGAAATGATCTTTCAGATGCTCGATCATTTTGTTTAAGTTATCTATTTTTCTGTTTTAGTGTTTCAAGAGCAAAATACATGAAAGAGGGATCATTTTGATGGAAGTATGTAAGCAAGGGTTTGATTGTTTCAAACACTAACTGTTGGCGTCAGTGTAACTGCGTTTTTGTGTATAATATTACTCGAAATCTAAACTGAAAAATATTGTATAATAAGCACTAAATACAAATATAAAAGCAAACAGACAATCAACACACCTCGGAAAAGATATAAGAAAGCAAACACTATGATGATATGTTAGTAATGGTATTGCTTTGATTTTAACGTCATGCAATCCAACTTTGGGTAAGTAAGTTTGAAATGATTAGATTTCCATTTAAATAAAAGATATTCTAAAAAAAATAACGGTTTGTGTTTTTTTTTTTTTTTTATAACACTTGATCTTATTACTTAAATAGTATGAACATAGTCATAGTGTAGTACATCATTTATGAACCTAGGAACATAAAAATGAAATCGAAACATGGCATCATCTTGTATTCTCTCCTTAGAAAGTTTATCTGCCACTTTATTGGCGATGCGAGGAATCCATGTAAAACGGAGATCATCAAACTTCTTCTTCCACCATACAATTTCTCGTTTCCAGTTGTAAGCATCAAAATGGAGTATCTTATCATTAAGTATGTCTATTGCCTTCTTACAATCACTCTCAATAATTATCCGTTTCTGCCCTCTACTCCAAGCATGTTGTGAAGCCATCAATATAGCTTGTAATTCGCTCTCCAAAGCATTTTTAACTACCTTTCCTTTTGCCTGAACTGCACCCTTGTAATAGCCGCTTTTGTCTCGTATAACCCAACCAATTCCACCAGGTATTTGATCATTCACAAAAGATCCATTCACATTATACTTTAACCAACCTTCAGGGGGTCGTGTCCACATTTTGGTTTGTGTGTTTCTTGAATCTGTGTAACAGAGTTTACCTTGAGCTTGATTGACCCTTATGTTAGTCCACCATTCTTTTGCATCTTCATAGGCATGTCTTAGTGTCGTTCGCCAATGTATAGTTCTCTTCTGAAAAATTAGCATGTTTCGACTTTTCCAGATTCTCCACAGGATCCATATAGGTAAGTCATGAAGATGTAGCAGACGATGTGAAGTACTACAACGAAGACATTCTTTTATCTTCTCTTCAAATGATGTCGCTGGATTGTTTATCACTGTATTTGAGACTCCTGACTCTCTCCATATCGCCTGAGCATATATACACCCAAAAAATAGATGTTCTTCAGTTTCATTAGCTAACCAACACCGTTTGCAAATCCCATCTTGACTAATATGTCTTCGCATTAAGTTGCTTCCAATAGGGAGAACTTTGGATAACATTTTCCATATGAAGTGTTTGTGCTTTGGTGGAACGTTCGATTTCCAAATTTGATGCTTCATTGTAATCGATCCAGGAATCGGAGTTTCTACTATCTCTGAGGGTAAATGAGAGCTAAGCCAATAACGGTTTGTGTTTTATTTTATGAAAATACTATTAAAATCCAAAAATAACTAAAATAGTACAAACTTATAATTTTTATGTTTTTAAAAAGAAAAAAACTTCGAAAAGATACTACATGATTGAAAGACTCTTCATCAGCATTCAGCACTAGAAAATTAGAAACTCTTTCTAAACCCTAAAGTTTGTGAAAATATTATGTCATTTTATAGCATTTCTTATAACATGTATTTAAACACTTTGCCAAAACAAAACACATGATACTGCCATACCAAAACGAAAAACAAATGGGACACATGATATTTCGACCCAAAAACAAAAGATCCATAATCGAAGGAATTGCTCGAATTAATGGATTCATATCGAAGGATGTTTATGTAAGTTTCATAAGTTTACGAATTATCTTAATAGAATATAAAGTTATGGGGACTAAAGTTGCAAATAAACTCTTCTCCTTCGTATAAGTTTACGAATTATCTTAATAGAATATAAAGTTATGGGGACTAAAGTTGCAAATAAACTCTTCTCCTTCGTCCTTTCACATTACAGTATATAGCTTTCTGTCTTTTCACCAGATTCTCCTTTAAGCTAATCTCTCGTCCGTCTCTCCCGACACGATCAGATCTCGAAAACTCTAATAATCGTAGTCGAATCCACAACATGACTCTTGGTTCTGGAGCATCGAGTGTTGTTGGTAAAAAATTTCGATCCGAATTTTTCTTTTTTAGGGTTTTTGGAATCCGAAATTGGGTTTTTAATTCTCTAATTCTGTTTCTAGGGTTTTTGAATTTGAATTAGGGTTTGTTCGATTGATTGATCTCATAGAACATAGCAAGTCTTCATCTTTTTGACTCTGAGATTAGTGGGTAATGATTAAAGTTGATGTTTTTGATGGTTCTTGATTTCACTAAGAACAGATTCTTGATTTTATTTTCAATTTTGCAGAGTCTGATAGTGATTGGTTTGTTTCTATGTGATATGAATTTTTTGTTTGTTTTTATTATATAGTTCCGAGGAATTTTAGGTTACTAGAGGAGCTTGAACGTGGGGAGAAAGGTATTGGAGATGGAACTGTGAGCTATGGAATGGATGATGGAGATGACATCTATATGCGCTCTTGGACTGGCACTATCATCGCTCCTCACAACGTAGTTACATCTTTCTCCTATATATGCAAATTCTTAATGTGATTGTTTTAAGAAACATTGATCAATGTTCATTCTAGGTTATGTAACTTTTATAGCAGTATAGGCCATTGTTTACTCTGTTTGTACTAACGTAAATCAATTTTTTTGTATGTGCAGACTGTGCATGAAGGTAGGATCTATCAGTTGAAGCTCTTTTGTGACAAAGATTACCCGGAGAAACCTCCAACTGTCCGGTTCCATTCGCGTATCAACATGACTTGTGTCAACCATGATACGGGAGTGGTACGCATAATAATAATCATCCAGTTTCCTTTGAATGCTACTATGTATGTCTCTGAATGAATATGCATCTGTATATGTTTATAGGTGGAACCTAAGAAGTTCAGTCTTCTTGCGAACTGGCAAAGGGAGTACACAATGGAGAATATACTGACACAGCTGAAGAAGGAGATGTCTGCGTCGCATAACCGTAAGCTTGTTCAACCTCCAGAAGGCACTTGCTTCTAGTAGTGAAAAATCTTTTTGCCCCTTACAATACTGAAGTATGTATCTTGGGGTAAATCCATTGTCGTTTCCAAGCTTTTTCTCTAAATTTGTGATAAAAATGGTCTATTGTGGATGGTGGTGATGATGATGATGATGTTCGATTAATCATCTGAAGTTTATCCTTGTGTGCAAATTATCAAATCAGTCCCCAATATCCATGTGTTCAATCCTTTAATGAAACATCTTGATTTCATTGGTTGGTAGTTATGAGTAATGTATTTCGACATTTGAGATACTAATTCATTCAAGTACTCTTACTTGTTGAATTTGAAATATTCAAAATTGAGAATCCTGACTAGTAGTTGCCAATATATTCTAGAGAGAATATAATCCAGTACATGAGTTGTAATGGTACTGAATATTATGCTTATATAGAATTACAGGTAGATTGATTGAACTTTCTTGCATTTCGTACGTCTTAAAAGCTCAGTTAAATGTATAGTCTCCTTTCACGTTGATTTGCGGTCCTACAATCTTAACTGGATAAATTCGTTTTATGCTTATCGTTTAAATCAGATTGAATATTGCGAACAATATTTATGAAAAATGGTTTTATACAACGTTTTTAAAAGACAGATCTGAAACAATTTACGAACGCTTTTTAGATATTCTGCAAAACGATTTTGATCAACTTAGACGAATCGTTCTAGAAAAGTATTTATGCGACAGTCTCTGAAACAGGTTCGCGATCTCGTTTTCTGTTTACATAACACCTCCATTTTTGGGTTGTTCACTCATCAATCTAAAATTTGCACACCAGTGTAAAAATATCTTAAAATTACATAGCAATGGTTAAATATCCAATTAAAACAAACAAAACTCGTTAGGCCCCGAAGTTCCATGGCTCAAACTGAAGGGTATTACGTGATCATCAAAAACATTCACGATTTGTTTTAAAATAAAAGAAAATAAATTTGAATGCAAAAAAAAAAAAAAAAACAGAGATGATGTGGTACGAGTTTGAGAAACAAAAAAAAATTGTTGACTGAAGTTTGAAACAGTTCTTTCTGTTTATTTATTCACTAAACCCTCAAGATATGTCGAGGAGATGGGAAGAGGCGGAGGAGGGAACCGAATAAGGCTGAGAGAAGGCGGAGGAAAGAAGAAGAGACACGGCGGAGGAACGAAGAGTTAGAGGAAGGAGTTGGAGTAGCTGGCTGAAGGTAGGCGCAAGCAGCTTGCTTTACAAGGCGGTTCCGGATGGAGATGACGGGAGCCGCTACAGAGACGGCAGGGGACTCGGCTGTGGTGGAAGGGAGGATGTCTCTGAGAGAGGTGTAACGTGGAAGAAGTTCATCGGAGGATTTGTTGACAGAGAGAAGCTCCAAGTCTAGGGTTTGTGAAACGGCACCGTGTCTTCGTTGGAGAAGAGAGAGTTTCATTAAATCAGCAGCCTCCATTTGAGAAGAGAGAGTGTGAGATGGTTTTAAGTTTTGGATATTGATAGAACCTAACATGTTGTATTTTGTTATATATATATATTAATATCGTGATCATCACGTTACTGTTCTTTCTATTAATAGTCAAATAAGGACTATATAGTAAAGCGTGTTTATATGATATTAATTAATATCGGGACCTTGTTTTTTGTTGTTAGAAGAAGAAATATATGAAAGAGAGATGGTTGGCGCTTACGCTCCAATCTCGACTACTTTTATATTTTTCAAACCAAAACAACAACCCTACTTTATTTTCTGTTTATATTTGAATGATAAGTGGTTTTCCTTTTGGTATTAAAGTGTATTATTGTAACGTTTGTTTATGTTTAAAAATACATGTCACTAGCAATGGAATCTCTAGCTAATTCATTCCACTACAAGAATAATTGACTAAACGACGACGATGGACAGAACATTGTTTCACGGAAATGTGTTGAATAAAAGTCAAAAGGAACATCACAAGAAAAGTGTAAACAGGAGCGATTAGCCCACTTCACACGAATAATGTTTCATTGGTATCCACTATCCATATATCTTCGTTTTTTCCTTTCGTTATTACTTAGTCAATTTAGTCACCCTACTAGCATAATTCCTAACGTTCGTTAAAAATTGGAGACTTTGTAAACTAACATCTACTCGACTATCCTGAACAAGATACTGGTACTTCACGTTTCGACCCTTTTTCCATATATAGTCAATATCCAAAACACATTCCAATTTTATGACCGTGTCTAAGCAAACGAACCTGGTCTTATCAAATTTTTATGACCAAGGCCTTACAAGATACTATCACTATTAATCCATTGTACTGAGAAAACTTCATTTTATACTCCTCTAATTCCCTTCAGATGCTCTAGAACAAAGAATTATAACTTTTCAATGGCAAAGTGTTATGAATAAAACTACTTTAACTAGGTCTAAAGCGAGTCTATTACAAACTTTAGTCTGATATGACTCTGATATGTGATATGAGGCGGATCTGAAACTTGTTGGGTAGTATTTCTTGCCAACGGATGGCATTGCATACTGTAAGTTGTAGTAACATATTTTTAAGTTGGCACTTAGATGTGTTTTACAACTTTATAGATGAAACAAACTTGATAGTAAATATATTTGTAGTTAAAATCTGACGTTGTCAACTTGGGTTGGGCCAAAATGAAGTAGCATACTTATGGAATAGTGAGCAATCTCTCACGTAAGGCCCATAGTTCATGCTCACTTTATAGGACATATACATTAGTTATGGCGTAATTAAGCCCCATACTTCCGTTATACAGACGTTAAAGTTTCGATCTGGTCCATATTGGTAACCAGTCATTTTCTTGTTAGTTGTTACGGGTGTGATCACCAGATCGAAGCAAAATTTTCCACCATCTATCTAATAATGAAATCCACTTCAAATGACACATTGTTATATTAATTTAATCATCTATATATGTAATAGCACTTGAATCGTTTCTTATATATGAAGGTACAATTCATATTCAGATATTCTAACTCAAATGTAGAGGTGACGTCGCCCTATAATTCAGCGTCGACCACCGCTGGTCCCACGACTCTCACCATGTACCTTGGTTAATTCACGTGCTTCCTAATTCCCACAAACAAACAACTTTAATAATGGTTTCTCAGTAATTTTTGTTGTTATTGTAATTTGTTTTTGTCCACTGCTTTTGATTTTTCCCGTGACAATTCACTATGTGTCTTCATGTTTCGACTATTTTACATATTCAGTATGATAATCATACTGAAATAACACTTGGAATCCGCTGTTACGTGCTTTAGTCATCTGTTTGATCATACACATGTAACATGTTGGTATAAATTTATCATAAAAAGCAAACGGTGAAGCCCTCTGTTTCCAAAGAAAGTTAGGAATATTTATAGGATTATCCATGTGACTGGTGTTCAATAAAAAAAGAAAAAAAATCCATGTGACCATGTGAGTACGTAAGCAGTTGCTTTGTAATTATATAGTGTGAAAAGAGGTAAAAATAAGACTTATGAAAATGTTCTAAAAAGACTTTTATGCAAATATAGAATCATCACACTTTACAGAGGAGTTTTTATGCAACATATCAACCGTAGTGATTTCGTATGGCATTACTGATCTTGTTGAGTTTTCATTAGACAGTTATGCGTGGCTAAGTGCAACAAGTCACTTTTAAAGGAAAAACATTAAATTATTTCATCACTGTTTACCCATTTTAAAAGTTTCAAGTGATATATATATATATATATATATATATTGGTCAATGCAGGTCACAGACTTTATAAGGTCAGAAAATATACATGTGGTTGATTAATCACACCTATTGTACTCAACGTGCTTGGTTTGGTCTATTGATTCCTAACGTCCATAGAGGCTCATATAATGATTAGTCTTTTCAAATTCGTATCAATTTCAATTTTCAACCGAACAAATACATATAATAGGGCATGTACAAATGTTTATGGTAACTATGGATCAATGATAAACACATGGTAGTACTTTGTTAAGATGTTAAAAACAATTCCTTATGAAATCGAGTATGAAAATGGATAGAGAATTTCACTCCTTAGTAATAACAGTTGTCAAATTAAACCAACGTGTGAATTGACTATAGAAGATGTGCATTAATGAATCACATGATTTGTAAATGGGTTTAGCCACTTGAGTCTTGAACCCTCACATGGCCAACCATCAAACCAATTAATCAAAAAACGATGTATATTCTGTATTGGATTTCAGTATTTGTATACGTATATAGATAGAATATTATTGATCCAAAATAATTCCATTTCACACACATTCGGTTCAAATTGGCATGTTTTCAATAAATACAAACACTAGCTGGTTTTATTCTATCTTGTAACGTTTCATGTCAGACATACAAAAATACGTTTCCACAATAAGTTTCCACGTATAGTTTGCTTATAGTGGTAAGCTTCCTTAACGATGAACACACTTTATAATTGATTTATATAAATTATTAATAAACTTTTATAAAAGGAAGAAGAAAGTCACAGAGATCGAACATGATTCTCCACTTTCCACTCCTTTGTCTTCTTCTTACATAAACCCATAAGCCACCAAGCGAAAACAGCGCAACACAAACACAAACACAAACACAAACACAATGTCTTCTCCTCCTCCTCCTCCTCTCCTCTTCTTCCTTATCTTCCTCTCCGTCGTCACCGCCATCAAACTACCACTCTCTCCTCTCTCCCACCACACAGACCAATCATCACCCAACAACGACCCTTACCTCTCTCTCCGCCGTCTCGCCGACTCCTCCATCTCCAGAGCTCAAAAACTCAAACAACCATCCTCCATTAAACCCGACGAAGACGCTCTCACCGCCCCCTCCGCATCCGCCGCCGTCGTCAAATCCCCTCTCTCCGCTAAAAGCTACGGTGGATACTCAGTCTCACTCAGCTTCGGCACACCGTCACAAACAATCCCTTTCGTCTTCGACACCGGAAGCAGCCTTGTCTGGTTCCCTTGCACCTCACGTTACCTCTGCACCGGGTGCGGTTTCTCCGGGTTGGATCCGACCCGGATCCCTAGATTCATCCCCAAGAACTCCACTTCCTCTCGGGTTATCGGGTGTCAGAATCCGAAATGCCAGTTGTTATTCGGACCCAATGTTAAATGCAGAGGATGCGACCCGAACACCCGTAACTGCACAGTCGCTTGTCCGCCGTACATTCTCCAATACGGATTAGGATCAACGGCTGGGATTTTACTATCCGAGAAGCTAGATTTCCCTGATCTAACTGTACCGAATTTCGTCGTCGGATGCTCCATTCTCTCGACCCGACAACCCGCTGGTATCGCCGGGTTTGGACGCGGAGCCGAATCTCTCCCCGTGCAGATGAAACTAAAAAGATTCTCTCACTGCTTGGTCTCCCGTAGGTTCGACGACACCAACGTGAGCACCGATCTGGATCTGGATACCGGGTCGGGTCATAATTCCGGGTCGAAAACTCCGGGTCTAACCTACACTCCTTTTCGAAACAACCCCAACGTCTCAAACGCTGCGTTTTTAGAGTACTACTACCTCAGTCTCCGGAGAATCTACGTGGGGAGCAAGCGCGTGAAGATTCCCTACAAGTTCCTCGCGCCGGGGGGCGACGGAAACGGAGGAACCATCGTGGACTCCGGGTCCACGTTCACTTTCATGGATCGACCCGTTTTCGAGCTCGTTGCTGAGGAGTTCGTTGCGCAGATGGCGAATTACACGCGAGAGAAGGAGTTGGAGAAGGTCACCGGGCTTGGACCGTGTTTCAATATCTCCGGGAAGGGATCGTTGACGGTGCCGGAGTTAGTGTTTGAGTTTAAAGGTGGAGCGAAAATGGAACTGCCGTTGTCTAATTACTTCACGCTTGTCGGAAGCGTTGATAACGTTTGTTTAACTGTGGTTTCGGACAACACTGTTGGTGGTGGTGGTCGGAGTGGTCCGGCGATTATTCTCGGGAGTTTTCAGCAACAGAACTATCACGTGGAATACGATTTGGAGAATGACAGGTTTGGGTTCGCGAAGAAGAAGTGCATCCCGTGAGTTTCCAGGGGTAGATTTGGGAATTTGACTTTTGCAACTATGAGAAGAGTTTTATGATTTATAATTTCTTTTCCAAATAAAAGGAGTTGTTAACTGTTTATAATTATGTTTACGATTGCTACTTTTTACATATTTTTTTTATAATTATAAAATTATTTCACCAGATAATAAATTTAGCTGGCAAAACTTTTTTGTAATTATGAAATTATGTAAAAGTAGTAGATATGAGTTCGACTTATTTAGTAATAGTTGGATGCTGAAATTGTGGACGTTGGACAGTATCATGTGAAATAAGGCTGTATGCATTATCAAGAACAATAGAAAATGGATGCTAATGCAGTCACACCCGTCGATGTCCATTGAAAGATTTATTGAAATCGACACTATACATATTCCACTAATTATAATACTCTTTTTAAAGTTTTAAAAAAGGGGTTTTGATGTGAAACAAACATGTACGTACATTCCCATGTGTACCAAAAGTAAGAAATAGTAGAACTTTTTTTGTTTTTTTTTTTCAGTTTCTACATTTTGAATAATAGGATCGTGTAACTCGAGATATATTAAAGCAAAAAAAAAACTTGAGATATATTCATACCACATTACCCATTTTTATCATTGTCAAAATTAGGAAAAAGGTATATACATATATATACGATGCACATTTTTATATTTGTATGAAGTTTCAGGTGAGTAAACTTTGTGTTAAGTATACTACAGTACCGGTTTATGAAAATAAGCTCGATCCGATTTGATGAGATTGGAGATTTGTAAAAAGAGGCAATGCACTAATAAAAGCAATGAATGCGACAAATAAAAGTTGCACCTGCTAATCATGCCAGCTCACAAAAAGTACCTAGATTAAGATTTTTTTGTTGACAACACCTAGATTAAGATATTTATTTTTTAATCAGTTGAATGAGGTTTGGTTTATGTTTCTGGCGCGATCAGTGTAATTTGTTTGGTCAGTGTAATCAATGTGTTTTTTAGCCAACAAGGGTAATCAGTGTCATTAAAAAGCTTAAATTTAATGTACCAGAACAAATACACTTATAAAAGTATCCAAAGAAACTTTCTTGCTCAACTAATACTATATAAAATAAATGTTTTCAGGGCTTTCTATAACATTTTGTATCAGCTTACAAGTCCTGAAAACATTTTTTCAGATAAACTTACCTAACTGTCACTTAAAAAATTACATTCCAAATCTTATCAAAACCATTATCGCTCCCCTTAGATGCGGCTGGCCGAGTAAAAAGTGGGGCAGTATATAGCCAAGATGCAAGCTGGATGGATCTCAATCATCCGAAACTGGTCCAAAGGAACAGAAATAAGTGTCCAAGCTTTCAGACCGTGACTTTTCAATAAAATCTGTCATAACTATAACTAGATATGAATTCATACGGTGGAAAACCGAAAATTCTATTACAAACCACTAATTTATAATTTTGATTGCTTTAAAATCCAGTTTTCTTACTAATAAATCAATAAGATTGTCACAATGTTTGTTTGACTTAGAGAATTGATAATCCTTATGATTTAAGACGGAACCTGCGTCTATTTAACAATAGTAACAAAATGGATGGGAAACAGATTTTCTAGTTGAAACTTTCTTTTTCAAATTGCACCAACCAAATTTTGTGCAAGTAAGCACTGAAAATGAAGCATTAAATAAGATATAGTGTAAAATATTATATATTTTTTTCTACATTAAATAATTTGATTAATTTATAATCGAAGTTACAAAATTGGTAAATAAGATTTTCCAAAAAGAAAATTAAGTTCAAACGTAATCTTTTAAAAAAAATAAAGTGTTCCGTCTTATAAAATTCGTAAAAGGTTGACAATTAATTTAAAATCGTATAAAATCAGGTGGAAGCTTCTTATAATCCAACGGTTTAAATAACTAGTGGCTCAATGAAAGAACAATTAATGGGCCTTATCACTCAACTTATGGGCTTAAGGAAAGCGCATATTGGGTTTGAATTTATTTTTCTTGTCTTAGGACCGGGATATCCTTTTTGGTTCACTTAACAGCCCTAACATGGACGCGCGCGGAGGAGAGGGGATATACAAGTTAAAACGGTCGAGCAAGGGTTCGAATGGTCGCTGGCGAATTTCGTCGACAATTAATGGAATCAAAGGTCTTCCTTTTTACTAAACTAATTCTAACTCTTTTTATTTTCTGTACGTGACAAATTTCATTATTACAATCTCTACGTTTTTTGTTGGTCACAATAATTACAAACGCTACGTTGTTTTTTTGTTCAACATTGACCCCATTTGAAATTCCGTATAAAAATTGAAGTCATACCTTTTTTTAGTTCCAATAAAGTGTGTAATGATTTTAAAACTCGAGTTTGTTGGCTTGTGAATTGATTTTCTTCTGTGGTTGAATCTGTATCCACTATGTGATCAATTCTAGTTCTTTTTTTGAACGAAATCCTAATTTATTTTTCACTACACAATGTTCAGATTGATGAAGAAACTTAACGTGATCACGGATATAGCAATTTAAAGAAACTTATGTTTTAATGTTTGTGAAAATAGCAAATCAACAGCGTAGCTCGCCTGTTGTCAGGGTGGTTCAACCGTAAATTAAACAGTTGGTGCTAACTCGGTATCATAAAAATGATTTGGATAGATGGTTTTAGAAAAGTCAAAGGTCCAGTGCTAACTCGGTATCATAAACATCTAAGTTTGACATTTTAGTTGTTATCTCGCTCCACATATTCAAGAATTTTTCTTAGAGATCAGACACCTTTTTTCATTTATGTTGTCATATCAGAAAAGCTTGGGGGTGTTTCTTGTGATAGGACTTTCGAACACAAGTTCATTGCATTATAGCATATATGATCGATATTTCCTTGACATTATAGATTGATGATATAATATGATACTTATGCGTCTCTGCTAGCTTATACTCTAGGAAATATAGGGAACAACCGAACAAGTGATAAGGAATATATACCACCGCCTTTGATTCCCAAGCAAGACTCAAAATATATTTGAACAAAAGCGAACCTTGCTTTTATATTGTGAGTAATGTTTTTTTTAGGCCAAAAATTCTTTTGTGAATAAAGAATTACATGTGAATAAAGTTCTCAACATTTGAGTAAGAAGGTTGTCATGTCAAAATTAGGACAACTTTTCTCCATTCCTTCTTTAATCTTTAAAGTCTATCTCTTTCTTTCTTAAAGTTAAGCCGTCCTAAGGAGAATTATGCCTTAATTAAACTAATCCCGTATTGATCTCTCTCTCTCTCTCTCTCTCTCTCTCTCTCTCTCTCTCTCTCTCTCTCTCTCTCTCTCTCTCTCTCTCTCTCTCTCTCTCTCTCTCTCTCTCTCTC